TATACAACTTTAAAAATTATAAATAAACACTTTATTCAGAAATTTACTAATTTATACACAATACACAAACACCATACATAACAACACCTGCAACCCGTAATTATTTAAGCCTTTCAATACTTCCTTACTATTTAGAGACAGGACCCTGCTATCCAAAACAATTTGGAAATTTGTTCTTTTAACATCTTTCTGTAAAACCCTAATGATCTCAACAATACTAGTGATATTATTTTTCTAAAAATACTGCAGTAAATACTCTAACTAATTCTGCTAATATAGAAGTCTTCTTGGATAATATTTTAACTAAAGACCCAGAAATCAACCTCACTCCAAATGATCCTCTACCTGATATAAAACCAGAAGTTAACTCTATCTCAGACAATTTTCTTTTTAAAATAAAACCAGAAACAGAAATTTTTTAAAAAGTTTGAGATGAACTTATTCAACTTTTTATCTCTCTATCATATAACTATTCTAACCCCTTTATTGGTAGAATTTGAAAAGACTAATTAACCAAAATTCTTTGACAATTAAAAGACAAAGACCAAACTTGATTCAAACAGATAAAAGTTCTTGAAGCTTATCTGTACTTAGAAATTCTTATTCAAAAACAATCTAATGAACAACAACAAATTCATAAACTTATCCAAGCTTTCCAAGGTTCTCGAAAGACTCAAGATATTTGGAAAAAAGCTATTCGACTCCAACAAGTCTTTAATATATATGCCACCAAAATAGGTTTTCAAAAAAACCCTATTTCATCTTCATTAGAGCAATTTAGAATTTTTTATATACAAGAGCAAATCTAATTTAGGTAGTTATATTTTTTATAATTTTGTCTCTTCAAAAAAAGTATCAAAAAATTTTGTCTTTTAAATAAAATAAATTAAAAACAATTTTATCTTTAAATTTTAATTTCATATCCCAAAACCCAAAATAATTTTATCGGCATATATAGTCTTTAGCATTTGATTTAAATAATTGTTATATTAAATCTGATACTTTATCATAACTCATATTATCAAGTTTACTGATAAAGAGTATCAGTCTTTAATTAAGAATTTGTAGAGCAAATTTTTATAAAAGGATGGAAATATTATAAAACAGTTTATTATTTTATTAGTTTATTATTTCGATATTGCATAATTATTAGTTATTATTTATTACTTTATTATTTTACTATTATTATTTAGTTATTATTGTTAGAGTAGAATTTAATAGACATGTAGTATACTTAACGCTTAACGATTAACGATTAGCGATTAGCGATTATGCTTAGTGATTAGCAATTAGCAATTATGCTTAGCGATTAATGATTAGTGATTATACTTAATGATTAATAATTAGTGATTACGCTTAGCAATTATGATTAGTGCTTAATGTTTAATGATTAATGATTACACTTTATGCTTAGCACTAAGTAAACTATGCTTAGCTGCATCGATTAGTGATTAGCCCTAAAGATATAAAAGGATGTAAATTTTTCCAAGTTAACATTAGACTTGCACCATTCAACTTCTTAGACCCAGATTCCTTTTTTCCAAATTCTCTCTTGTAATATTATAGGATTCTTTAGAAATAGAAATCTAAAAATAGCCTATCTTATTCTCTCTAATAAAATATATTTTATTTATAAACTATTGTCTGCTCGAATTGCTACAGACAGAAGAGTATAGTTTCTAGTTGTAGTAGAAATTATACTTACCTGTTAGACATCACTATAAACCTGTGAAGAATTTCTATAGCCGTGTCATTGTTATAGTACTACTATTAAGAAGGCTATAGTATTGTAACCAGTATTTAAAATTTGATGTTCTCATAGTTCTCAGAGAACATTTAAATTTTTTTAAGAATATTAATAATTAATATAATGTTCTCTTATTTGAGAATATTTTGTATAAACAAAATGTTCTCAGAGAGAATATTTATAAAGTTTTTTTGTTCTCAATTTTATTATTAAGAACAATAAATTATATATAATGTTCTTATTTAATAGAGTTATAACAATAGTTATAACACTATAATAAAAACAATTGAAACTGTGTTTAAATAGTTATACATATTTGTCATATATAAGTATATATACACATTGTGGAGTCGAATCTACTTCTCGGAACTGTGCCAAAAAGCAATCAACCAAATTTTTAAATTTAAGTTTGGTGAATTTTGAAAACTATATAAATTATATAAATTATATAATTTCATTCTATGCGAAATAGCATGTAAGAGATACTATTTACTTTCAATCAGTATGGTGTCTTTTTACACTACCCTAAATATATACTACATTATATTATGCATATATTAGTGCGAGCAAACTATTTGACTATAATTAGCCATTGATATTTTGTCAATGTATATACATTTAACGTTATGAGATATACTATCAATTGATCAATTTTAAAATAAATTTTATAGCGACAGGAAATGAGTTTTAAGGCAGAAAGATAGGTTTGACATTATATTGAATTTATTCTATTTTTGGTTCGTTTTAGTATTACGTCATGTGGTTGATACGTAATCATTATTAGTAATCATGATAATTCAATAATAATTCGGGGTTCTTAATTTGTGCCCAATTCCAAAAAGTCACAGTGATGTAAATGATTACTAGTGTTGTTAGTTGATCGACTAACAGTCAACTAACTGAGTCATCGGCTAAGTCATCAGCTTTTCAACTAAGTCATTAAGAGGCTAATTCAGGATATTATTACTTTATGATTAGAGCGAGGATTTATTATTTACATTATTGATAATAAACTCACGCATATTTTTTATAAACAATAGGCAAATTACCCAATGAAAAAATTTTAAGAGACAATAACTAAACTTTGACCAATAATTTTTAGTTTTGTCGACCAAGTCGACTAAGTCAATCAGAGGTTGGCTAAGCCGACTGAGTCACTAGCTGCATATCAGCTTACAACACTAATGATAACTCGTCAGGGTTTAACACTAAAAGAGGTCCCAACTAGATGTTTTTCTCCTGATAGATATTGTGAACTAATAAAATAATTGTTAGTATTATAAACCAACAAGTTCCATGATCCTAATTTGAGAAATTCGTGATGTAATTCAAGGCACTAATCTCTTCCACATCTCTTTCAACACCTTTCACTATGAGAATGTAGATTAAATAATGTTTAGTGTAGTATTAGATAGTATTAGTATTGTAAATACTTTTGTGACACATATTTCCTAACTCAGAAGCATATATCTACAATATGCATATTAATTTTTTCTACATTAGATTTAACTATCAATTAATTATTGAAGTCGACTTGAAACAGTTTAACTAAAAGCTGACTTGAAATCAACTAGTGAAGCCTATTGATACAAAGTTCTCACATTGTCTCTGCAGCCACAAATCTTATAGATCATAAATCTGTAATTATCAACTTTATCGCTTTTTAATTATAAAATATTCAATGGCTAGGTCGATAAAGTAAAACAACAAAATCAGCTCTTTGCTATAGCGCGGGTGATAGCAAATAAAAATAAATATCTGCATGATATATCAGTCTTAAACAAATTACTAACTAATACATTATTGTACCTCGCAATTCACATATAAAAAATAATTACTTATGATTGTTCTATTCCAAAAATTCCTATTGCCCAATATTTTACCTTTAAAAATATTTATTCAACAAGACGCCAAAGCATAATCACAAATCTATAATAGGATGTTCATTTAAAATATTCCTACATATATACTGACTTTAAGTTATTCGTTATTAAAGAATGCTTTGGTATCTTTATTAAAGAATACCTTGTATTTTCATGTAACATATTATATGACAATTAATACCTTAACTTTAAATAGATTATCATTTTTATGCATGCAAGATTGGTAAAGCCTATTATTTACTATAAAAGTTTATTCTTAATATGCTTAAATTATTGATATATAATGAAAGTAAAACATGTGCAAAACTAAGAGAGAAGCGATAGTAAGAGATCTACCAAACATATGTAATTTCAGGGATTTTTTATTGTTTAAACAATAAAAAATCTCTGAAACCGCATAAGTCTAGACACTAATCCACCATAACTATGTATCATTTGCATAGAAATTTACAATGATTTATTTGTATTAATAAAGTTAAATAGAAAGACCAATATTGGTTTTCTAAGTTAGTATAAACAATAAATATGATATAAAATTATTAAAATTCGTAAATGATAACAATTATTTGTATTGAACATATCAAATCGAAAATCCAAATCTATTGATATAAATTCATTTTCTATTGCTGCTCAATCAAAAGAAGATTCAAATAATTTTGATAGTGAATCTTCTACTGAAGAAAGTGAGAATAATCCCTGTCAGCTTAAAGTACCACGATTAGCTAAAGAATCATTAAACTGGGACCCGAATTGGTCTAAATTATATCCTTGGGTTTATCATGGAGAAGGACCATTAAACAAATTTATGTTTTGTCGTTGGTGTATAGAAGCTGGTAAAAATAATAAGTTTACTAATGGTTGTGAATACTTTAAAAAACAATCCTTAGACCGGCACGTTAATATTAGTGATCATTGGATAGTATGTGCCGCTCGAGTACAATCTCAAATTACCTTACATTCTAGTTTTGCTATTCAAGCTAGAACCGATCAAATTAAGGTTATGAGAAATATGTGCAATATATATTTTTTAATTCAACATAATTTGTCTACCAATATATTTGAAAGTTTGTGTAAGCTATCTAAAATTCAACGTGGTGAAGACCAAAACCAATTTGAATGTGGTACTGAGATTTTAAATATATTTGATAATAACTAGCTTGCTGATAATGATAAACGAACGTCATATAGTAGTTATCAAAATAATGTTTCAGCACGTAAATTTATTGAATCAATTGGTCATGTTATAGAACAAGAAACTTTTCAAGAACTACGTAATTCAGATGGTTGAAGTCTTATAATTAATGAAGCAATACTATATCTGCTGAAAAAACCTTGGCCATTGTTTCTAAACATTTAATTGCCCCAGCAAAACCAATTTATCGATTTCTTGGATTAATTTTATTAACAGATAGTACTGCAAACACAATTATTGCTGAAATTGATCGGTTTTTTTAAGCAAAACATATATCATATAATGATTTAATGCATATTTGTACAGATGGTGCCAGTACAATGATAGGTACTTATTAAAAATTTTTTTTTATTATCCTTTATATCGTCTTGCAAGCAAATTTGCTTGCAATTTTATGATTAATCTGTAATAAACTACAAATTGTAGTTTATATTGTAGTACAATTAAAGTTAAATTGATGGTATAAGGATATATATATATTTTTTTTAAAAAAAAATTAATTTTTATAATTATTGTACTGTAGGTTCTCATATCGGTGTAGCAACTCAACTTAAAAATAAAAATCCATTTATTTTGGAACATCATTGTATTTCTCATAAATTAGCAT